CTCTGTCCCTTTCTGGTCAAATTTAAATAAATAAATAAATAAATAAATAAATAAATAAATAAAGTTCAATAAAAATAATTCTTAAAAAAAGATTTAAGGGACCAGCAGTTGGCATAATGGCTATATCATTGGACTCACATGTAGTCAACCACGGTTCAAGTCCCAGACCCGGTGGCTTAAACACATCAGGCACATGTGCATGTGTGCCCAAGATCCAGAAAGGAGAATGGAGGAGAAGGGATTGTGGCGTGCCATCCTCCCTGGGGGGTGATTTCTCACTTTCTGTCTCTCTGTCTCTCTATGTCTATCTGGCGAGCAAATGTACCCTATAGCAAAAACCTCTCAAAAAAAAAAAAGATTAAAAAAAAACACCAATAACAATAATCTAAAAAATATGAAAAGCTACTAGCTGATGATAATGTGGATAGTAATGTCTTTGCCTTGACTGATATGCATGGTAATCATGCTGGAAAAAGAAATGTTATACACTGTAAAGACATAAGTGATTAAATGTAATATAAAATAAATAAATAAAAGAGCCCATGTCCCTGAGCAGGACTCACCTCTGTGATGATGTAGAAGTCATCCCCAGGCTCCCCCTGAACGACAATTTTCTCCCCATCCTCAAACTGAACAGGCTCCAGGGCATCAGCCACTGTGAGGCGTTCCCACTTCTCCAAGGACTCTGTGAGGAGGACAAGGACGGTCACCAAGAGCCACACTCTCCCGCAGGTGTCAAGGCCAAGGGCGTCTGCTCTTCTCTCTCTCTCTCTCTCTCTCTCTTTCTTTTTTTAGAGGTTTTTGCTATAGGGTGTGTGTGCTCACCAGAAAGACAGAGACAGAAAGCGAGAAATCACCCCCCAGGCGGGATGGCCATGCCACAATCCCTTCTCCTCCATTCTCCTCTCGGGATCTTGGGCAGGCACACGCATCCGGCGTGAGCTTAAGCTACTGGGTCTGGAACTCGAACTGCAGTCGACTACATGGGAGTCCAGCAACATAGCCATTACACCAACTACTGGTCCCAACAGCTGCTCTTCTCAAAGTGCGTCCTCAGGAAATGCCCATAAGATGATCTGCGGGGTGAGTGAGCTTTATGAGAGACAAACGGAGAAAACAAGCAGCACGAAGGCACAAAAATCCACCTCCCCGCTATTGCTCTGCTAGGAGAGCCTGGGTACTTTTACAGATAGTCTGAATCCAGGATGCAGTCACTCACACTCCATCTTCAGCAGTCTGGTTTTAAAAGGAGGGTTATTCTAACTTATCACTGGTTTAATGTAAATAATGGGCACTGAACTGGGGGTCTAAGTTAACTCGGTCTGAAAACACATTTGTTATCTTCAAACAAATCGAGCTGCCAATACTTTGCAAACAATAGAGTCACAGCTAAGCACTATAGCTACTAAGTGGTTTAAAATAATTCTGAGTGGCTGAAGCAATTATCCTTTCAAAAGAAACACCATCCATCAGAGGTTATTCAGAGAGCACAGAGCTGCGGCTTGCTCTGGTCCTCACGGTCTGGTGCTCTGTGCTACCCTGGAACTCTGCAGAGTTCCCACCAGCAAGATCTTACCAGATGTGACCCTTTAACCTTGGGCCACTAGAAGAACCTTGAGCGAAATAAATTTCAGTTCGTCATGAGTCAAGAAAAGGGTGGGAGGCGGTAGGTGGTGTGGTGGTTAAGATGCCTGACTCCCACATGGCCAACTGCGGTTCTAGGCCTGGACCTGGTGGCTTGCTTTCTCATTCTCTCTCTCTTTCTCTTGTTCTGTCTCTCTTGGCTCACATTGAATAACAATAATAATACATTTTAAAAAGAGAAAACATAGAACTGCTTTTATATGTTGCACTATGAAGGCATATTATCTCTCTCATTATCTTAGGTCAAAATATTTCATTCCAATGCCGAGTTTATTTGAAATGTTTCCAAATTCAATAGACCTTTCCACCCTTCTCACGCCTTGGCTTCTCTGTCACGATCCTTCAGGAAGGAAGCAAAAACATAATAACGTGAGACTTTTATTAGAAAATAATGATCTGATTAATTATTTCTTTTTTGGCAAAAGAAACGTGGTCCATACTTATCAGATGCTACCTATGTAGGTCAGCTGCTAAAAATAAAAAGCAATGCATTTATTTTAGATCTAGGTTAGGATGGGGATTTCTCGCACTTTAAAAATTCCTGTCAGTGCTAGGCTTTGCAAAGGACAATGCCGTCCACTAACCCCAGGGCCAGTGCACACTCTGCAGCACTGAATAAAGACGTGCCAGACAGAAGCTGCTCAATTATTCACAACCTGGGGGTATTCCCAAGCAGGTCAGCACCTCCGCACACATCTTGTGACTAAATAATGCAGGTAACTCTTGAGCTACATTATGGTTGGTGTTTATGAGGAAGGGCCAAAAGGAAAGTAGTGTTTTGTTTATTGTTTTCTTCATGAGGGCAACGATACGAGATGTTTAATGTAGCAGTCAGGCACACTTAGGAAGTGCATATTTGATTAGCAGATTTTTTTTCTTCTCTTACAGTTGGAACCTCTAACAGTCTAGGGTCTGAAAATTAAGACAGGCAACAGCTTTATCTCCTGACATAAATCTGGGGTGAAAAGTGTCCGAAGGAACTGAAAGGAAGATGGCAATTTTTTGGCCCCAATTTTTTCTCATCTCTAAAGTAATTTATGGAATGCAGAACATTAGAGAACATTATTGTTCATTTTTTAAAAAGAATTATTTAATTTTATTTATCGTTGTTATTATTTTTAATTTTTTTACAGGGTGTGTGCACTAGCCAGAGAGAGACAGAGAGAAAGAGAGAAAGTGAGAAAGCATGCCACCAGGTCCAGGGCTCAAATCGTGGTTGGTCAAATCAGAGTCCAGTGCCTTAACCATCACAACATCTGCTGGCCCCTAATTTTTGAGAGAGATATTTGCTAGAGAGCGTGTGTGCTCGCTAGAGAAACAGAGAAAGAAATCACCCTACAGGGGGATGGCCACACCACAGTCCCCTCTCCTCCATTCTCCTCTCAGGACTCCGAGCATGCATACACATGCACCTGGCATCAGTCTCAAGACTCTGGGCTCAGGACTCAAACCATGGTCGGCCATGTGGGAGTCTAGCACCTTAGCCACCACACCACCTGCTGGCCCACATTTTATTTTTTTAATCTGCAATTCAGAATTCCTGTGCCTCAGAAATCTGGTGCCAAAGACTCACTCTATAGAAAATCAGTGCAGCCCAGGCCACTAAGAGTTCCACTTTTAATAACGGTCCTGTTTTCTGAAAAGTATTTTCAACACTGCATATGACAGTCTGTGGAATAAATGCAGGCAAGCATCCCCAAAATGCCTCGCAGAAGCCAGCCTGCAGGATGAGGCAAAGCAAGGGTGAGCGAGCTTATGAGACAGGACGTAGGTACACCAGCCCAGAAAGGAAAGCCCAGGCACACTGGTGCTCAGAGCTGGATTCTGCAGCTTCTCACATCCCGAGTGGGGTCTGTGAGGTCTGTGAGGTCTGTCATTCTGGGATGAGGAGAAAGTGGAGCCTGGACGGTACCAGGTGTTTCCGTGGAGTGGGGAGAAACGCCAAGTCCACAGCTTTGGGTCCTGTCCAAGCTGAGGGCAAGTAGGCTGAGAAGGAGGCATTGTCCCACCGGTCACTTTCTGGAGGACTTCGTGTGGCTAACGGTGACTGCACCAGAAAAGGGATTAGAGTTGCCATTCCTCAGGAAGGCCACGGAGCAGCCAGTCACAGTGATGACTGTCACATTAATCAAAGGAACACAAAATAGGTGGACAAAATGGGGAGGCCAAACAGATATTGTAAGAGGGGCTGAAAGGCTTATAAAAACCCAAGACATTAAAAAGAAAAAAAAGAAAAAACCTCGGGCCTGGACCTGCCTATTCTGTTTGGTCCTGGGGGTGGTCACCGGCAGCCTCAGCCTGCTGCACAAAGAGGGTCTCACCTTTCACTGGCTGGCGGCAGCACCATGGTGTTAGCCTGGACAGCACCAGCACGTGGACGGACATGAGCACAGAAGGGTGACTGAAGGCTCAGTGCTCGGTACCTGGTGGCCACCAGGGGCCAGAGTCCCACACCCGTCTCCGGCTCAAAGGCAACAGGAGACAGGAAAGGACTGCAGAGGCTCCTGTGTATTGGAAAACGTGTAAGGATTAAATGTCTCTCTCTTGGCTCCTGCAAAATCTTGGGAACGACTTGCAGTTGCCAACTTTTTGTTTTGCCAAAATGTATGAATGGCATTTTTTTTTAAAGCCACTAGAAAGAAGCCAGACATAATCTGGCTCTAAAGTGCAGTGATTAAGGCTGTGCATAGGGAAATGAACTCCCACATGGTTAACCAGGGTTCAAGTCCCAATCTAACATCTTGAAAAGCATGCTGGGCACTTATACGTGCACACCCAAAATCACAACGGGATGGAGAAACGCAAGAGAAGGGTTTGCGGCGTAACCACACCCCGTTGAAAGGGTTTCTCTCTCATGTGCCCTTTGGCAATTAAAAACTTTTTAAAAAAAGAAACAAAAGACACAGACACTGGGGCCAGTAGGTGGCATGGTGATTAAAATGCTGGATTCCCACATGGTCAACCGTGGTTCAAGTCCTGGACCTAGCAGCTTGAAAATCATGCCAGGCACATGTGTGTGCATGCCTAAGATCCCAAGAAGAGAATGGAAGAGAAGGGAATGTGGCATAGCCATCCCCCCAGAGGGTGATTTCTCACTTTCCCTTGTTCTGTCTCTCTCCAGCAAGTGTACGTACCCTACGGCAAAAACCTTCACACACACACACACATGTACACACACACAGAGACACAATAGGCCACATGTACAATTCCATTTCTATGAAATGTATAGAACTGGCAAATCCACAGAGACAGACAGTGGCTATGTGGCTGCCAGGGCTGGGGGAGGGAGAAATGGGGACTAACTGCTAAAAGAAGATGGGCTTTCCCTTTAGGGCGATGACAAAGTGCTGGGACCAGATGGTGGTGATGGTTACACAACACTGTGCTTTACGCCCCTGAACTGCAGTCTTTAAAATGGTCAATCCTACGTTTACATATTTTACCACAATAAAAAAAAGAACAACTACCTTCTCTTCACTTTTAACAAAAGGATCTGAAAGAGGACATGAGCTCTGGGCAAGCCCTCCCCAAGAAAGGTGCGGACCCTATCATACTGCACACCTGTGTGCACATGCGCACACTCATGGCTGTGGCCGTTCCACTGCAAGGACGGGGAGGAGCCACTGCGGGCAGAAGGTGCCCAGTGCGGCAGGTGCAGAGCCAGGTGCCTTCACCTCCCCAGGCATTGTCCTCCTAGGAGGCTTACTGAGTGGGTTCACTGGAGGACCAGGTGCCAAGGGCACATCTGCGACCCCGGTAACCCTCGTTATTCCTCCGGGGACTGAGAGGACTAAGGTGGCATGGGAGGACTGGGGTGGCACCAGGAGAAATCATATTTAGGAGAAAACCAAAACACGTCAGGGAAGGAAGCTCCAAACAGGTCATCACATTTACTCGAAAACAAAGTTGACTTTCTGCTCAAAACCAACTGACAGAGGAGAGGTTGGGGATAGAGAGGCATGGACAGCAGAGAAGAGGGACAGCATGCAACGGAAGGACAGTGGTGGCCAAGGAGCGCACACGGGGTACTTTGGTTTTACCAACAAATGCACACATGCATGTGAACATGTGTGCACGCGTGTCCCAAACTTGCGTAATGCCAAGAACACTTAACTAGGCAACCACACAGGGAATGGAAAAATGTCTAGGGCTGTCTGGCAGGTGCCCAAATGAGGTCTCAGAGGCAGACTCACACGGATAGATGGAGCCATGCAGGGGGTGCAGGAGCCACTGACCTAGGATGGAGACTTTGCTGAGGAACTCCTCATACATCTTGCGTTTTCTCAGTGTGCTGCCCTGTTTGAGACAAAAGAAAACACAAAGAGGAAGGTGGATCTTCACACCTGGGTCATTTCAACATTTCCAGATTTCCCCAAATGACCCTGAACTCTTAAAACGAGAGACCTTTTTAAGTTTTCTAAGTCTCAAAGTTACCAGTGAGCTGCCACGGTCCCCTATGTCCAGCTCCCCTCCCTCCTTCTGCAGGGCTTCTGAAGGGGCTTTTATCACCATATCTGACTGCCCTGGCAACAACAGAGCATCCCATCCAACTGGGCCCTTGATTGGTCCAAAGATGAGTACTCAACCAATCAGAACCCTGCACCTGGATTTCCATGTATCAAAGGGGAGGCAGGTGCTCATAAGCTGGGATGATGGTGAATGTGGGGAGCTGCTGCCCCAGCATGTATTTAACTCCTTCCTGTTGGGTTTGTATACTCCTACAACACCTGAGACAGAAAACCACCATGAACACAGGTTTTACTAAGCACCTCCCGCCGTGCCTGCAGGCTGACTGACCAGTTCTGACCAGGGTGGCATAAATACCGTGGTGTTACAACCTCTGAACATGGAGAAGGTGGCTGGAGCCCCAGCAGTCATCCTGGGCCCTTGTGAACAGAGGAACAACAAGATAAGAAGTATCCTGATTCTTTGACACCAGAGAAAACCAGATCCGCTCTGTTAGACCATTTCCATAGATCCTGAACATGAGAACTAACCATGTGGTTTGAGCCACTGTTACTTTGAGTATTTCTGTTATGCCCAATGTGACAGCCAGGTCTATGACAACCCCCAAGGACTCCCATAATTCATACCCTGGGTGGTCTCTTCCCACAATAGAGCTGACCTGCTGTATCCAAGAGGATGTTGAGGAAATGATAGCTTGACATTCCCAAGGACTAGACTATAAAAGACATTATCACGCCTGCCTTGACCCCTCCTGGACTAATCAGCCAGGGAGAGGCTCACAGAGGAGCAACAGAGGCTCCTGACAACCACCAGCACCATGGACACAAGTCGTCACAGAGCTGGTCCTCCAGCCCCCAGTGAAAAATCGCAATTATCACATTCCCAAAAAGATCCAGGACACAGCACTCCAGATAAGCTGTTATCTTCATGACCCACAAAAACAGTCTTTAACGAATGTTATACTGTTGCCACAGGCCTCTACTTTTTGGGGAAATTTGTTACTCAGCTACGGCGAATTAGTACATCCAGTGAAACCTAATCCTAACAGAGAGAACGATTAGCTCTTTTAAGGCTTACAGGCAGTTTGGCATAACCACCACTCTGCTGGCAACCCTCCCAGCTGCCACAGATGCCCACTGGCAATGGTAAGGAGGGTCATTTATGCTGCTTGGCCACAAGGAAGATGGCTTTGCAGTAAGGAAGATGCTCCTTCCCTGCCACCCTGCATCCCTTTGCAGGATCTTCATGGTCCCTGCAGCTAAAGCCAGTTTCAGGCACTGCAGCCTCTGTCAGTAATGTATGCAGAAAGATGTTCGAGAAAGAGATGGGTCAAGCCCAGCTGCAGTGAGGCAGGTGCAGGGTGTTCCTGTGCGATAGGGAAGCTGGAGGCATACCGGATCACAGATTGACCTGAACCTGCTGGGTGCACCCATGATGCTAGCTGCCTGAAGTCCAGGGGGAGGATAGTGGTGTGACAAACCCTGCGAGAGATCCCTATCACTCTTTCTTGAAAGAAATACACTTTTTTTCTAAAAAAGAGAGAGAACTCAGATATAAGAAGCAAAACTCTGACACACGGAGGCATCCCCAAATGCCTGTTCATCTCCCCAAACCTTTATTCTTTTGAGAGGCACTGTTCAAAGCATCTGTCCCTCCACTCGAACCAACAGCACTGCTGGAGAGTAGTGGAGGGACCTTGGCTGGCACTTACCCAGGGTCCTGTGTGGTAGGCACTATCATAGTTCACAGCAGTATAGAGGAAGAGGACGGAACACAAGTGAGCACTTCGAAAAGCTGTCCAAAGTCACTGTAAGTGGAAGGGCAGGGGCCTGCCCCAGTCCTGTCTCCAGGGCCTGCACCCACCTACCACACACCACCCACCACCCCGTCCCCATCTCTCAGCACCTAATACGGTCAGATGAATATTTGTTTCAGTGGCTCTGAAATCCGAAAGCAGATAGAGCTGAACACAAAATGTGCTCATATCTCCTTCAAAAGAAACCCTTTAGCATGTTGAAGGCCACTTCACCCTATGAGATAATGAGGAGTCAAAGCAGGAGCCCTTTCCACAGTGGGACTTGGGGTACCTTAGCTCATGGACGTGGAGCACAGAGCTGTGCGCAAGCAGGAAGCACAGTACTGCCCTACCACCCCTCATCCTTGCAGGGACTGAGCAGGACACTGAGCCTATTGAGGCAAGAGACCCTCAGGAAGGGTGGGGAAGGGCAAAGGAAGGGAGATGGCTCTGCTACAGAAAGGGGAAGGGCTCAAAAGGGGACAGGCTAGCGAAAAAGCAGTTGACACTAAATGCCTGTCCCTCGAAACTATGACAAAAATGTAAGCGGCAAGGAAGTGGAAAAAAATGACTCTCAAATCCCTGGGGTACAGCAAGTTTCCATGGGGCCAAACAAGGGGTTTTACACAGTTGCTTATTCTGGACCCTGGGGGTGAGCTTTCCCACGTGTCCCAAGCTGCCCAGGCCTAAGTCATTTCCAGTATTGTAGCCCTCCCTGCATGCCCCCCCAAGCCTCACTCAGCATCCAGAAACACAGACTCCTGGATGTGAACTAATCTTCTCACTCATAGAAGACCAAGCCCAGCCAAAGTGCCACTCAAGCCTAACACCCATGAGAGGGCTGCAGGCACAAAGATGCCCTGCCCTCTCATGCCTCCCAGGACCTCTGCATAGAGGATATACAGGCTGAAAGAAGGTAAAAGTCAGAAAAGTATACATTCAGATGTGCCATCTATATCATCGAATCTCGGTGAAATGAAATAATTAAAATCTCTGCTTCATCCGATCATTGTAAGGACCAAACAAATGTCCCTTATGTTGCTGTTGATGGTGACAATGATGGTAGTGATGACAGTGATGATGATGGGACCAGCAGATGACATAACGGTTATGTTGCTGGACTCCCATGTAGTCAGTCAACTGCAGTTCGAGTCCTGGACCCAGCAGCTTAAAACTCACACTGGGTGCATGTGTGTGTGTACCCAAGATCCCAAAAGGATAATGGAGGAGAAGGGATAGCAGCATGGCCATTCCCTGGGGTGGAAGATGATTTCTCACTTTCTGTCTTTCTGTCTCTCTCTGTCTCTGGTGAGTGCACACACCCCATAGCAAAGATCTCTAAAAAAAAGAAACCAAGAAACAGTGATGATGATGGCGATGATTGCATTGTTGATGGTGGTGGTAGTGGTGGTGATGAGATGATGATTATGGTGATCATGATAGTGATGATGACAATGATAGTGGTGGTGGTGTTGATGGTGATAGTGACAATGATACTGGTGACAGTGGTATCAATAGTGGTGGTAGTGATGATGAGGTGATGGTGGTGATAATGGTAATCCTAATGTTGGTGACAGTGATGATGACAATGGTGGTAGTGATGGTGATGATGGTGGTGTTGATGGTGATAGTGACGATGATGGTGGTAATGGTGGTGATAGTGGTATTGATAGTGGTGGTAGTGATGCAAGGTGATGGGGGTGATCATAATGTTGATAATGATGATGACAATGGTTGTAGTGATGGCGATGATGGTGTTGACAATGGTGATAGTGATGATGAAGGTAATGATGGTGATCATGATGGCGCTGAGGATGGTGGTGATGATGGTGATAAGGGTGGTAATGAAGATAGTAATAATAATGTGATGATTGTGGTGAAGATGATAGTGAGGATGATGGTTGTTATGATAATGATGTTGATGATAATAGCGTGATGGTTCTTACTGAGCACAATGGAGAAAGACTGACAGGGAAAATTAGCATACTCCAATTCCAATCCCTGCCTGCCCATAACTCCTCACACTTTTAGACCAGTCTTCTTTCCTCTGGGCCTAGATTTCTCCATCAGGATAATAATTGAGCTGGGAACCACATTCTCTTGTGTCACTGACTTGGGTTTTTCCTCCCATCTTCTTGCCATTGCTCCATCAGTGTTGTTTCCCCATTAGCCCAGAAGGTTCTCTGTTTGCTTTCTATGGAGATGCAGTGGGATGCCAACCTTGGCTGACTTTCCCATCTTCAGAAGTGGGGATTAGAGCCCACTGCAAACAGGTAGTACCTATTCCCCAGTCCTTGTCAGCCCTCACCACTCCTAATTTCTCCTCAGAAGAGGTGATGAAAAGATGCCCAACGAAGACTTTGCCAAGTGTTTTCTAGGTACCAGGCACCTATCTTGTCATCTCAAATTTTCACTGCAGCCCCTTCAGGTGGCACTATTGTTATCTCCACTCTACAGGGGCAAAAAAAGGCTCAGAGAGGGGTCACGGTCTGCTCATACCCAATGGGCTACCAAGTAGCAGGACCAGGACTTGAAACAGATGATCTTCCAAAATCAATGCTCACACCATTGGGTTCCACACTGCCTGAGAAGTTCAAGGTCTTATTGCATCTGCACTCACACACAGCCTTTTTACTCCTGAGAAGGCCAGAAGTGACATCCATGGAGCACCTACCTTCTGCTTAGCACTGTCCCATGTACCATCATCCTCCAACCCTCACATCGGATTGGAGAAGGGCAGTTCAGACAACCACGTGATATGCCCAGGCTGCCCAGCAGGCATAGACTGGCCCATAAGATGTTATTATTATTTTTCTTTTTTGCTTTTACCACCACCTCACCCATGTTCAAGGACACAGGTTGCTTTCAGATGGGCTTTACTGCAGGCCAAGAGGGGCTTGACCTTATGCAGTGAGAACTGGAAACTTCAGGGGCCTGGCTACCCTGAGTGCCTATCAGCCAGAAGCCTGAGATGGCTCAGGTGCCATGGTGTCCGCTGTGATGTCCTATCTGGACCTCTAAAAGGTGGAGCTTG